TCTCATCGTGACAGAAGGGTGTGATTGGGAGGAACGTTTAAAATACTTTTTAGATGTTGGTGCCATATTTGTGTGTACAGTATGTACTGTATTTTTAGTTCGTTTTAAAGCTACAGTACAGTGGAACTGTACATTTAAATTCACTCAGTGCGTCTCATTAATAATTGATTAGTAGTTGATCTGAGAACAAGTATTTAAACACTATTATTCCTTTCAAATTTAAACATTATATAAAAGATGTGTTCACCGCAAATTCCAGTCAATTACAGAGAAAATTAAGTTAGGTGGATGCTAAGAGTTGTAAAGTTACATTCCTGGAATGTTTAAATCTATTGTACTCATCATACATAACATTTTCCAGAACCCTTAGCTTTTAGTGTTGTTCTGTTGTTTTAATGTTTTTCCTTGTAAATGCATTATTCTATACTTAAATTGTAGCCTTTTTGATTAAGGCTAACAGTAAATCCTGACGACAAGTAATGTTAATGGATATGAACATTTGACAATGAGATCTTTAGTATTTCTTAAGGATTAGCAAATGCTATTATACTTTTGTGCTGCTCATGTATAATCTGTCCCAAGTTGTGATTTTTTAAGTTTGTGAAGATTTTGATCAATTTGAATTAAAGATTTATTAACAACATTTTTGGGGGTTTTAATAATAGTAGAATACACCAATGAGGTATTTGAATAAATTGTTGATGCTCAGAGTTCACAGTATTCTTCTATGTGTGAATCCTGTGTCTAAAATGTTTGCACAGCAGTGTTGTTATCTTCAGAGTTCACTCTAAGAAATATAAGGTAATCATATTACTGTTGCATTTGTCCAAGAGCGAGGAAAGCACATGTTCTTTTCCTTTGTAATTTCCTTTGTCAAATTGCTTCACCTGGTACTTTGTGTGCATCACAAATATAGCTGTCCATTTCTGACATTGTTCTTAGCTCTGAAACAAAACATTAAAAAATGGCATGTTGTGTCTGTGTACGCGATGTGATGAGGTTTATAGAATAATGTTTCTCTGTAAAATATGTGAAAGACTGAACACAATCAAAGTCTATGTGAAAACCCAGAGGAAAATGCTTAAAAAACAGCTTGCAACACAAAATTTCAAAATGTATCTGTGATCAATAGATACCAAGGTAAGAACATAGTAAAATCAACTGAAGTATTCTATCACTTTGGGGATTTAAGTTTTTCTTTGCTTTCAGTATTGACTGATTTTAATCCTAAATTCACATGCCAAACTTGCAAAACACTGCTCCTGAATGTATGGTATGTGAATAAGTAATATGCCTCTCACTGTAGTGCACTCTATTACTAGTTAATACTTAATAAACAATGCCCTACATTTAGTGTTCTGGAAGTGAAAGTGCCATATTCAAGGTACAATATCACCATTTAACCTTCAAACCTGTCAAAGGCAGACGTGTTCCCTAAAGAGCAGGTACCACCCATTTAGGTGAGTTTTTTTGACCAAGTTAAGTTTAAGCTGTGACAATTGTTAGACCAATAATGAGCATTCAGCAAAGGCCACATTAGATAAGGTTCTTGTTAGCTCTAGCACACTGGCTTACAGGAAGCAGTGCACTATGACATCACGGGTAAGTTCTGTGTATAAACTAACCACAAGAATGCAGCGTGTCAGCCAGGGAGTGTGAGCAGAAACAGAGGGCTCTTTCTTAGGTATGGGAAATGAACACACGCTGCCTTGTCTGAAAAGCGGGCTGTTCTATATGAGTGAATCGAAGGCCAGGTGGAGGAAAAGGCAGGTCTGTACACAGCACTTGAGTGGGAGTGGTGTCTTTAAGTATGCCTTCGGAGTGGAACTGTGCTGCCTCTTCAAAAGAGGAGAGAAAAGCTTAAACCTGAAAATCAAAAAGGAAACAAAGTATTGAAAGAAAAACGTTTTCGTTTACTGGCTGGTGAGTGCCTAATGGTTTGTTCCTTTATCACATTATGTAAGGTAAATTCTGTATTTTGTTGTTGTGAAATTAGGAAGCTAATATTGTACTTTTCTTTTCTTGAAGATCGGATAGTCGGATTACCTATAGCCTATATTATTGTATGTCATTGGTATCCTTTGACCAGCTCTTGATTAGCAAAGACAAATTTAGGAAAGATCAATTCTATCCTACTTCTATACTCTCTATAGAAGTCCTATTTTAGTTGGTAAAAAAACTCTTTCCACATAACCATTGAAATGTTGCATACATAGAATTCCATATTCATAAACAAGATTAATGGAAAGTATATCAAGATTCTATTTTTATTGTCCTAAGATGGTGATATGACTTATTCTTCAGTATCCAGTCTGACTTTCAATACGAACTGCACACATCTGGGTAACCTGTGCAGACTCAAGTACATTGAGCAGTTTCTTGTGCTATGATGGAATACACAGAAATGGGTAAAATAAATATTTTTCTGATTCCCTGCCCATAAGTGCCGACCAATGTTTATTATACTGGTTTTCAAACAGTAAGGTACATTTTTATCAGAAGTAAAGACAGCATAATTTGTAGCCACAGTATGGAATCACGTAGACTGTCAACAGTTGAAATATAGTGGTAAATTATTAAAATAAGAGATATCTCGTGTATTGGATTATGCCACATTGAAAATTATTGACACAGAAATGTTATGCTCACACACAAAAAAAGCAAATAGACAAAGAAAAATTTCGAAAAAATTAAAAAAGGATCTGATTTAGAGCCTGTGAAGGCTCTTTTGACAGCAGTTTTAAAAATATTTACCGTTTCGCAAAATTCCTAGACACAGTAACCCACATATGTGCATTAGACAGTAAGTGATAAATAATAAAATAATTTATAAAATAATAGGAAATGCAAAGTAGTTAAACCATTAAACACTTTGTGTATCTCAAGGTGACATTATATAAATAAAGACAAGGTCACATAAGCCAGCTGGTCAGGCAAATGAATAAAAATGTCTACTTTGTGTTTGATCATTAAAAAAAGCTTGTCTCAGTTTGTTACATTTATATACTGCCTCTCTTTCCTTAAGATATTTATACACAGACTTTTTTGCTTGTTTAATCTAAAATGTGAAAAGTAGAAACTAAACATAAGTTTTGAGGTGCAGCAAGAAGCTCTCATCTAGTTTCAAGAAGGGTTTCAAGATTTATTTTAAGTAGAAACCCTTCCCATGAAAAGACTTAACATTTCCAAGATACACAAGTACCTTAATCATCACTGAAAAACAGGTTTTTAATTTAGTTAGAGGAATATTTACTTCTAACTAATCTAGATATCTTAAGTGGAGTGCTGAAAAATAACCCCTTGTGATTCTGCTTCCTTAAATGTTTTAATCTTTTTGACAAGCCAAAAGGTTATTATGAGGGGACTGTGTTTTTGACATTAGAAAAGGTCAGAAGTTCGTACCGCATTACTTGTAGTTGGAACACATGCTGTACTTATTTAAGCTTTAACTTGAAATTAACAGACTATTGAAGGTGGCTGGTGAGGTTTGGCAGTAATTCTTGGTGACACCTTTCCTTATACATGTAATGTTCTAAATATTTTCTGTCAAGGACATAATGCTGAGATCCCCACAAAGGCAATGAAGACTTGTTTTGACTCATGCAAACATGTCCTTTTGGAAAAGTCTTGGAAGGAATGAGGCAGGCTGGCTCTGAAATAATTTGATAGGGCAGATATTTCATCCATCCAGATAAGCTTAAAAAATGAGATCTAATTATTCTGTGATCATATATTCTTCTGTGTTTCAAAACATAGTGCATTCTTTCCACTGAAACTGTTTTGAAATCTGGACAAGATATACTTTGTGCTGACACCTCTGAATCACTAGGGCAAAATTAAAACAATGTGGTTAGGTGTTACCACTTTCAACAGTATGATAAATTATCAATGATCAGGTTTTCCAAATGAGCACTAATACGTAAATGGCTCACCTTCGAAAGGGGGTTGAAAGGCTTCTTTCAGTTTATGTGGTCTGACCACTTGCTATTTAACACCTTTACAGGTTCAAATTCAACCCGTTTCAATGGATTAATTAATTCAAAATTAAAATCAAAATGCTGATGAAACAGAAACCCTGGTATATAAACAACAGTTTAAAACTCAAGATTAAGCTAATAATTGCAAGGCAGGTTTGAGCCTAGGACTCCACTTATTGGCGATCAGAATTATTGGAGAACAATAATAAATCAAGTAAGCCTAAATACTGACGATTAACATCCACACCATTAAATAGCTATGAGTATTTTAGGGCTTGTCATGTTACACAAGGGACATTCCACAAATTTCTTGAAAAGGAAGAATTCTGTGTTGATATACATGAAACCTTGTGGATGTACTGCATCATAAACATCTGAAAATTAAAAAGTGTAGATACTTGCATCTTTAAGCTTTCCTTTCAGAAAAAAAACAGGTGTCTTTGTTTCTTTGGCACCGCTATCTCCTCAATGGTTTCCAGTAGCAGCAAGTGCAGCTTCCTGTTGTTCATGGTGAATGATGGCAGGCAGGAAGACTATGCAATTAGAAGCACAGCAATTTCACACATTTGTGGCTAAAACGAGTAGCAACTGACAAGGTTCTGCAGTTGCTGTGGCTCAGAGGAGATTAACTGCAAGAACCCAGCGGTTTTGTCGTCTTACCAACCCATATATCATACTCATGGAACGAACTTAATTTAGCGATGCTTTGCTAAATGAACAACTTGAAACAACAAATTCCAAAGATTTTAATGTCACACACGGGACACCTGCTCATAAGTTATATACACATACATCAGCATGCCAAGAAACCTGTATCAAGACCAACATACTGTACTGTGGGTAGAACCCAGAAAAATATTTCTGGACTATCTCGACTGAGGTATAAGTGTTTATACTTGTGGCTGGGTGGCAAAGTAAAATTACAGCTCTCATTGTAGTACTGAAAGCAAAGAAAAATAAAAACTGTAACCTGGGATTTAGGGACTGGAAAAAATCTATTCATTTTTTTCTCTTTCTCCACAGATATTTCCTTTTATGAACAAGTTCCTCAGTGAATTCTCCAGTCATTGTTGGATCTGAATAGAATGGTTTAAAATAGAGCTGGAAAGCAGATGGAGACTCGTGAAAGAGCTGTTCCAAAGGGAATCTCGCTGGGAGTAAATAGGCCGATTCTGAAAACCCTTCAACCATCAAGACCTAAATTCTATATGTTTTACTCTGGAATCTGAACTGAACTCAGGCAGTAAAACTGTCTTTAATCTCCATTGTTTTTGTCAACTTAGAGCTGGAAGAGTGGCATACTCCACACAGGAGTAAAGAGATTATTTAGACCTCAAAATTCTTGTTCAGTTCTTATTTCCTGCACCAGACACTCTGAGGTTAATAGGAAGCACCTTCTTGCACCAACGACAACAATCAAAACTGTTACAAAAACACAAGAGGAAATCACCCACGATTTTAAAACATCATGAAAATGAACTGATCCTTGCAGACTTTTGGGGACACTTCTTCACTTCTTTTGTTCTTTTTTTACCAACACAGTCCTGAAACAAGCCTGTCACAGCAGAAACCCGCTTCCTGTTTAAATTGTGACACCACCGCGCTTGTCCAGTTGTGTTTTTATCTGCTAACACCATTCGCTTGTCCTCTCCCATCTGTTCATGAGCTGTGGGGCAATTTTGTACGCCTAAGTGTTGAAACATGAGGAATGAGATTTTGAAATTTTTCAATGACTTGTGGAGCACTTCCATATCCAAGCATGACCAAGGGATTTACAACACAGTGTGCCTAGTGGTCTTGCTGGCTCTGCCTCTGGTGGTGCTCTTTACCTCTGTAGTGGTGTGTTGTCACTGCTGTTGCAGCCGGCGGACTGGGTGCTGCTCCTGTTGTGCCTGCTGTGGTGGCAATGAGCAGTCAGCCAAAGCAAAGACAGACAAAAAGAAGAAAAAGAAGAAAAAGCCCAAAAATGAAGATTTGTGGATTTCTGTTAAACCAGGGCCAATGACCCCAGACAGAATGGCACTGACAACGGTCTAACATGGGCAACATATGAGAACACATTTGAACCTGCTGATTTTTAGTGATTTATTTATTTCCACTTCATTGTTATCGGCCTCTACATCCTTAAACACTTATACACTTACACTGTATTCAGTATTAGGTCATGTGTTTTAAGAGGAATCGAAACTACCAGCATTGCAATCATGTAACCCCTTAGAGGAATACCAATTCCAGGATATTTTTTTATACTTGGTGCCAATAAGTACATTTAGATTGGTGCAAGGGTCAAGGGCTGAAATTTTCCTAAATTTGACCTAAATCTGGACACAACCATGCTTGAGACTCCTTTGAGCATCTGTGGGTTTCCTGGAAGTCAAGTGCTCAGCAGTAAAGGCTATGCCTGAGAATGCAAAGGGCTCATGAATTTCTGTACTTCCTAGTAGAGAGCTCAATGGGGTTTTCACGGCTATCTGTGAACCACAATTTTGAGCTAAATATGACAATTCTTCAGTTTGTTGGCTGTTTCCCTGTTATTCTCAGTTTGAAATTACGCGCTCACTTCCCTTTTAAGAGAACTGCCTTTCCAGTAGTTTTATTTTGTTTGGTTTTGTCTGTATTAGGCATCTGCTCAATAAAGGAACTTGCCTGTCTTTATTCTGGCTAATAATCAGAAAATATTTCAAGTCAAAACAAAACACTAAAAAGACATTTAAAAGAATTAAATATATATGAAACGTATATATGAAATATATACGAAAAGTATGACTTCCAAAAAGAACTATTGCATCTATTACAGAATTTGTATTTTTGTGAGCAACAATTGTATTGTATTTGAGTGTGGAAATTCTTATTTTTATATGCAGTTTCTAATACAACATGCAATGGCTACTAATAAGGCATATTGTTGTCTATATAGAAGATGGCAACCAGTTAAATTAGACTTATTCCACAGCCAGGCAGATGGTGAAAGTACAGGCATATTTGTGTGACCATCCACAATAAGTCCCTTACTTTAGATTCACAGTACCATGGTGCTTAGAAAGAGATCTAAAGGGATTCTATTCACTTTCGAGTTCCAGATGTCCTTTATTCAAAGCTTGGAATGTAATTTGACTTGGCATTTAGTTTCCTTATTGGGTACATTTGCATTGCTGACTTCGCTTTGTAGCTGCCTGCCTCAGTGTTTTCTGCTATTGTATCAGCTAAAATTATTTTCTGCATTATTTCCCACTTTAAACACTTTCCTTCATAGAAAAATGGTGATATTTCGCAGAGGCTGAATACTGATAGACGTCTTAGTTTTGAAGATGAGTCACATTGGTTTTTCTAGTTTGCTCAAGGTCCTTGAGAGTTTCATGTATTTCACTGAGAAATTCTGACTGCTACTTTGCACTAGCATGTTGTTACGGGGGAGGAAAAGCATTTACTAGTAGTTAAGAATTTAGGCAAACATTTTTGATATTGAACCATGTGCACCTTATGTGGTTAAGCTATTAGTTAATGCTTATGCCTCCTACATATGATGATGATGATTAGACTTCGGACACTTTTCCAGCAACAGAACACTGAAGTAAAAGGTGAATTATTTAGGGTGCTTGACAGCAGATTTGTAATATTTATTGCTTAATAGGCCCCTAAAGAGAAGCACATGTGATCTAACTACTTCTTTAAAGGTTATTTCTATAAAAACAAGACTATGCAAGCCGGTGTTGTCTCATGGGTAGGATTCTCTCTCTTTCAAAAACAATTGGACATGATCCTGTTACAAAATGATATGGAATGACTGCTGTAGCTACTGCATGAGCATTAGTGCTATACAGTATATTGATTCACAGTTTTGGAAATGTTTTCTTATTTGTAATTTTGTACAATACACTTTAGAAACTTAACAAAGACAAAATACTGTATTTTTCTATAGTTGTATTAATTTTTCAGTTTTATTTGAGAGTAACATGTGAATATTTTTAAATAAACATTTATTAACTGCTGAAATAATGTGTATGTGGAACTTTTCATGTTAAAATTGTAACAGATATGGTCGTTGCGAACGGCTGTATTGTAATACAATTGAAAGACGAAGTTCCACGTGTCCATTGAACCTTAACTCACCATTTTTAAAAACCCCACTGGGAAGACAATTGTGAAAATGTCTAAGCAAATCAATGTTATAGCCTGCACTGAAACGTGTCCTTCAGTGATAAGCACTTGAACTTTTCAGTCCTGAATTGGGAAGAAATGGAGAAGAGGACCTGATTCAAGTATTCAAAATCCTCAAAGAGTCTCACAAAGTCAACAAAAAGGATGTCTTCAGAATCATCTGTGAAACATGAACCAGAGGACATTAGTGGAAATTACTGGGGAGGTACATGTTAAACTTGAAGTATCGAAGGTTGTCGGGGTCTGAAAAAAAGCACGATGTTGAAGTGGACACCCTGGCTTCTTTCAGGAAGTGGCACAATAAGATCCATAAGCTGGTAGCAATCAAGTGCTACCACTTGATGGTGATCAGAATAGTCACTTAATTGTTTGTATCCTCTCATACCTTCTTATTTTATAAAGTGGCTTGGACACCAGCATTGTATATGTCTACAAGGTAATAGTCACAGATAGTGACAGCACTAGAACTGCTTCCAAACTAATTATTTTGTTTTACAGTATACAGTATATTAACAATATATTGTTTGGAATGATATGAATATGTTGTCCCACACAATATTGGCTTGTGGCAGGCAGTTAAACTTTATAAGCAGTAAAGCACTGACGAAATTAAAAAAGTGCCAAAGAAATAATGTCGAAATTCTGTTTTTCTTCATTGACACACCCAGCAGAAATCCTTTTAACCAGCTGCAGGCCCTGACACCTGTAAGCACAGACCAGGCTTGCTGTGTTAATTCACTACAGGCTTTCAGCGTGCAGAATGTCACATGTAAAATCCCCACCCAGACACTCTGACAAACATATGTACTTCACATTTTTAGCATTTCCATATATGAATTATTTTTTCACCATTTCTAAATGTAGTGGGAGCTCCAAACTGCCACCTTTGAAAGTGATGACAAATATAACCAATGAGAATAACTAGGCATTAAAGTTAAATATGCACATGACATCTGTTTTTAATTATCTCTTTAGACATCACTGCCATTGACTAAAACTGTCCTGTCTGCAGTTTAAATATCTTCATATTGATTATCCAGCATCTCTATCACAAATGGAGAAATGAATCTAAACCTGTGAGCAGAAGGTACCTTTTTACACTGAGGGCTGCTGGAGTCTGGAACAAGCTACCCAGCCACACTGTTGAAGCTGACACCCTGCCTTCTTTCAAGAAACAGTTGGATGAGATAATCAGATAGCTTCTATCAGCTACTGTAAATGAGGCCGATGGACTCCTCTCTCTTGATAACATTCTTATTGTTCTCCTATGTCTTTAAGTTCATTCAAATTTTCCATCCCTGATGAATATAACTCTTCAGGGAACCTCTTTAGGCAGACCTCAGTGGATGATGTCAAGTCTTCCCCACCTGTATTCTTCAAACCTTGAAGGTAAGCCAGATAGCCATTGCTCAGAGCCAGGTCTGGACTGTAATTTTAGTGATTCAGCTACTCAAAATCACATTTACAAAACGCAACTTGAGCAATGTGAGACTTGTGCATTATTGTGAAGCAGCTGCCCACCTTTGATAACTGTGTACTGCATATTTATACATCTGTATATTTTTCTAAAATTCTGGAATAAAAAACTATTGTACTTTCACAATAATCCTAAAAGGTTAGAAACTGTTCGTTGATTTTTTAATGGTTTATTTACACAAGTGATGACATATTATACAAGCTTTGGAATACTTAGAAGAAGAAGTCAAAATAATTCTCAAAAACAAAATTAAAAAAGTTAATATACTGGGGTTAAAATCAAATCCCTTGTATCTAGAATTACATTGGTAGTTGACCAGCAGATTGATTAGAAAACAACAAACGAGTCACTATAAGAATAAGTACATAACAATTCTGTAATTGTATGATGAGGCTCTTCCCACCTTCTTGTTTTCAAAGTAAGTTTATAACCTATTGTATATATCTTGATCTTCACAGAAACAAAAATATTTTGATAATTTAGAACAAGAACAAGTACCACTTATGTAAAATTTGAATTATGACAGTATTCATAGTTTTATTCATATCAAAGAACAGGTTTAGGCCTGTGTTTTAAATGTCCAGGAGTACTGAAATGCATACAGAAGAGTATCAGAAAATGGTCTTACACCTACAATAACAAGCTACTGCCTCTTGAAGAAGGAAGATCTAGGGTCTGGGAGTAAAAACGAGAGGAATGTTGTAGAGGGGAATCTTCAGCAAAAAGACTAAAATGAGAAGAATAAGGCTTCAGACATATCTTTTGAGCTGAGACCCTCAATTTGAAATGTGAATTTTGAATATGAACTGAAAAGGAATCTCTATTCCTATCCTTGCAGGAAAATAACTGCTTAAGTATTATCCTATGTCAATGATTTCTGGAAATCTCGTGTCCACTTTGCATCAGGCACTTCTATCTACAAATCTAATTATTAAAAAAATACTTTGCCTAGATCCATTGTCTTTAATTTAGACTTTAAGGATTTAAACAGTGGGAGGATGCACCACATTCCAAATAAATTAGGCCGCTGTCAGTTTTGCCAATTATCGTGATGATTGTTTTTGTATTTTGAGAGTTTGGTGTCGTAGTAAAATCATAAATACCAGATATTCAAGGAGTATGTTTCGTAGATTTCATATAAGGAACGTCTCATAGCCTTACAGTATATGTTGCTTAAGAAAAAGTCTATTAAAAAAAAACTTGGACCTGTAACAAAGAACTATTCACATTTCTGACAATAAAAAAGGCAAAGAGTCATTATGCAAACAGTCAGCTCAGAACAGAGTCTGAGGGCTTTGTAATTATAGCACAAGGATGTGATCTGTAATTGCATCACACGACGATCTGTGATGTAATGGCATTACAATTAGAAGCTACTGATTAACTGTTATTCTAATACGGGTCGCCTTTAGTGGTTTTGCACTATTGTCTTTGGATTTGGTGGTTCAATTGGCCTCTCATTGTATTATAACTGCAAAGGTCTGATAGTCAAACACCTTATAATATAGATGTAACACCAAAAAGCTATGAAATAAAATTGTGAAATCCACTGTGAAGAAGAAGGGAATCTGATGAGAGGACAGTAGAGGACAAGAGCTGAAGAATTCTGATATGAAGTGCTACATATAAAGGAAGTAATGCCATCGTTTGTTTTTTAGGTGGACTTCAAAATCACTGAAATTCTCTGGAAATGAACTGTCCTTAAGCTTATATGTGCTTTGTTGTTTTTTTTTCCTATTTTGATTCTAGCCTTCTACTCTTTCCCCTTCCCCCAAGTGACCTCTTCTTCCGTCCCAGGACAGGGGTGTCAGAAGCAACATGTGGTCGGATTTTCATCTCTGCGAACGGTATGGAAAATTCATGCCCCTTCCAGGGCTCCCAGTTCACCCCCTGAAATCAGAAAAAAAGAAGAGACACCATGTGGAAAACAGGAGTGCAAAAAGACAAACAGTTCCTAAGCGTAGGACAAATATCCACATTTACAATGCACAGTGTGCTGAGTGTGCATTCCAGGCAGGGAGGAATATCCTACACTGACAGGTTAGAAGAATTGCCTATTCCTGGAGGGCCAGTATGTCAGCTAGGTCTCTTTAAAGCAGCAGCAGCAGCTCAAGAGCTGGGAGAAGCTGTTCAGTTGGTCCAGTCAAACCAATAACTTGCTGGTTTAGCTCATTAATAGATGAGATGGAATGAAGCCTGCCGACACACACCAGCATTCCAAGACCCAGATTGTGCAGCCCTGCTATAAACAAGTGAGTCTGGAAATGCCATATCACATTTCTGGGAACACTAGTTTTGATTCAGTACAAAAACTGGCCTGCTTTGAATAAGTGAGTGATTGAAACTGAACTGATCTGTACACTGTAAAATGGAGGAAAACTCATTCTCAGTTATGTAATTTCAGCTAAATATACAGCGTAACATTGCAGCCATTGTTTGCTTCAACATTATTACTAGTTATTGTTAATATATAATATTAGGGTATTAGTAATATTAAAATTTAGGAAAACAGGAAGAAACATTTCTGCTTAAATGTAGTTTTATTGCAGGCACTTCATTAAATTCAGATCTACATCTTACTGTTTTTCACGTCTCAGATCCATTCATTAAAAATTCTCTGCCTCCACCTTCTGGCAAAAGTTGCAAATGCATGGAACTTTAGAGCAGCCCTAAAATATACTGTAACCTGACTCATTGATATACAGCACAATGCCATTCTTTATTTTTAAAGAATGTGAATTGGAAACTAAGCAACGGGCATTGTTGTGAAAGTTTGGATAAAGAATGTATCGTTTTTGGTCAAATCTCTTACCACGCTGTGCGTATCGTCCCCATATCTGCCATTCAGGTTTGCTAAATGACAGTTTTTGTACCACCAGGCTCCACGATGAGTCAAAGCACAGTTGCTCAGAGCAATGTCATTGTCCTGGTCTATAGTAGAGAAGGGTCGGCCTTGATGATAAGTCATTGCATCACCTGAAATTGAATACGAAGTGGTTTTCTGTAACCTCTTAAGGTACTTTTCTCATTTCACTTCTGTTTGTGCTTACTGCCTCTTTATCTCTTCTATCTTGTTTCAGTTACTCTGTAAGTATTGTAAGCTGATGTGTTTGTAGAATTTCAGTCCTCTTTCTGTGTGACAAAAAGAGTATTTTGCCCCCAAATTACCCTATATATATATACTTTCAGAACTTCTCTTTAACATTTAGGGAATAAGAAAAACATCCCCCAGCACCAAATATATTATGTCTGTGAAGGTCCCTTAGGAGAATAAAATAAATCTGGGCACCAGAAGTTAAATCTCAGATTGCTTAAGGTTTTAACAATGCACTTTATCACATCATAACAGGGCTATACCCATGTGTTCATCGAGTATTAACGTTTTATCTTGCGTCTACTCACACACATTACTATCTTTTACCAACAGAGGGTGCTGTGGTCACACTTGCTCCCTTCAACACTTTACGGAGCTCAAATCAAGGAAGGAATTTCACTTTAGGAAAAATTGCTTACATGTCTAAACAGATTTACGCTGTCATGCGCTGTCATGATGTCCCTGCACTGGCCATTCAAATTTCAAAAACAAATATGGCGAATACCAACCTGCAGTGCCTCGGTAGTTGCCAATAGTCAGTTTAAACTTCTGCCTCACTGGTGCAATTTTGAAGTTGTCATAGACAGCATAGACAGACTCAGAACCTGCTTTCAAATCAACACGCAGTTCATACTGGGTGTTGGTGTTTGTAAGTTCATATATCTTTTCCAGCCCTAGAGATGAAAAAACAAAAAATCAATTCGTAAATGTGGCACTGATTATCTGATTAATTGCCAGGCTTAAAAATGAAGTTTTGCCTTAATCTATATTTTAGGTGAAGATGAAGTTTCATCTTCTGGCTTACTGCTCAATTACATTGTTAGCACCCATGGGTGAAAAAAAATAATTTTTAATCTAGTTGTGAAATATGGAAAGATTTGTTTTGTTATTAAATTCCATTTATATATTTTAAAGTATTCTCTCATTTATATATTACACTGTACTTAACATACAGTAAGATACTGTATAAATACTAACATGCTGATTGTGAGTACCAGCTATCTGGTATTACAACAGTTACACATGGAGGTACTAAGCACTGTGCTGCTGATCTGCAATACAGTAATCACTGCACTGACCCAACCAGAATTCATCAGTCAGGTTCCCAAAGCCTTGAATGTACTGTTTCCAGCGTTTCAGGAAATCAAGTTTTCCACTGTTGCGTCTTTGCAAGACCTGTTTTAGACGACAAAGAAGGAAGATTTATTTCAGAGACTCTTAATGTGTATCACTCTGCTGCATTACAGATCATGATCCACAATACTTTGTGGAGGTTTTTTATATTAGAAAGGTGGTGAACGTACGATCCAGCCGCCACCGTCAGTGGTCATGTCACAGTAAACCTCCATTGGCTTAGAGCGGTCATTGTTGAGGTAGATGGTGTAGACTCCATCAGAATTGTTCCCGCTCTGCAGAACCTCTTTGCAGTCCATAGGGAAGGGGAAGAGAACTCCAACTGCAACAGAGAGAAATAGGGAACAAAAAAATAAACAAATGCTGAACCTATTGTTCCATTTTGTCCCTCTAAAAAAAACAGTAATATCCCCTACATATGGGCACAGGTGTCCCTATATGAACAGTTCGGTCTGTTTGGCCATCAGCACTGGTTCACAGTTTCTACTTTTTGTAACAGTAATGCCTGACTTTATCAACAACAGCCAGTAAAGTGGGCAAAAATGTCACTATTCCTACACACTAGTCCTAGTTACCAAGTTAAGTTATTGGGGCAGTATAATCTGAGGTTGATGTTGATGAGGTTGAATTGATGTTCAGTTCAATTCAAAAATACTTTACTCATCCCAAAGATTTAAAGATTAATATTGTCTTTAATATTATATTTTGTTTTCCCCAGTGTATTAAGCTTAACTGGAACAACAGAACTGGAACAATGAATACTACGGCAAAGGGCGAGGCTTTGGTAACCCATAGGGTTTCGCTACAGTATGTGATGACGAGGGAGGACTGAACCTGTAGTAAAGGTGGTCTCCACTGTCCTGCTCCTCTGATTTCTTCTGAAGGCGACCAGGCTGACGATGTACTTCTTTCCCAGCTCCAGGCCATCCAAGGTAAACCTCCTCTCTCCAGGGCCCACCCGTCGCTCTGTGATCTACACGGGACACAGAGAGCCTCATACCTCACAAGACGACAGAGTCTACTGGGTTTGAATAGGCACAGTCTCAAGGACAAGAGAAATCAATAGTTCCTCTGCAATAATTAGCCATTAAATCAAGAAATCAGATACTAAGGAATAATTCTGACATGACTGAGAATGAAGTAGCACAAATGAGCAGGAATAGCCCAGGTCCTGCTGCCAAGTATCTAACAAATCTTTTAGCGTCTTTGTGAGAGCATGATTAATTAGATTAATTAGCTCTTTATATGGCAAGAGTTAGTTAATATTTGTACCAATGACAGATAATAGAAAAAGAAGGCATTGTCAGGAGAGCCAGAAATGGAAGTTATTAACTGGTAATAGCTGCAAGTCAATCTCACACATCTGTATTTAATCCCCATCACCACTAAACTAGCTCCATAAATCGAACACAAAGGCCTCCCTTCGCATTCGTCTCCACCATCCCTCCTCCGCCCCATGTACACCATGGACAGCTACCGTTTGGTTCACTAGTCTGTCTGAATCGGGTTTGAGCCTCCTCGTCCTGAGGCCAGGAGGCTACCCATGAACCAAGCGAGTGAAGCCAAACTTCACCACACAAAGTATTCCTCGCATTCACAAGCATTCAGCTCTTGGATGTCGCTAGTGAAATACAGTACATGTGACCATTTCAGGTTTTGACCATTGGGCGGCAGCATTTCGTCTCCCTTGATTATCCTTTATCTCATTATTCGTTCTTGATTGGGATGTTCTTGTTGTCTTTTTTCTAGAATCGTTTCTGGAATATTGGAAAAGCTATATTTTTTCAAGTTTTGGAATATAGTATTCTATATCAAATTGTTGCTGCAACGTGTATATAGATTACTGAGATGTCTACACTGAGTCTACATACCCTTTCATTTATTAACAATGGCAGGGTTTCTGTTGAAGAAAAATTGCTTTGTGGTAATGTCTGTCTATCTGTAACCCAGGAAAATATGAGTTTGTACAGGCTCTGCTACAAGGTATTTTAGGAAAAATAAGCAGAGCCAAAAGATCCACAAACTCACAGGGATATAATTTGCACCTTTCTACCCAATAGACAAAGCACTGTCTTGAAATAAAATCCATTTAGAGCCAGAATGACTAGAAGGAAGCTAGAGAACTTTAACTATTAATGTGCAAACCGTATTGTGATAAAAACAAGTAATAACATCTTATTTTTTATTTGCCTTTAAAATTGGTTGGTATTTCACCCAGATTTGACACTGCTTGAATACAGTTGGTTTATGAAAAATATGGGGGAGGGGGGTGATTCGGATATTGAAATATTAAAACTTTTGTTTCACACATGGTGTCCAAAAAGTCTTACAGTATTACAAAGTGGCCTCTTTTGGACACTCTGCTTTTGCTGCTGACTTTATGATTGTAGACAATTAGCAGGGAAGATCAAACTACCTGCCCACTTCCATCCTCTGCTTTGTAGGAGAGGGTGTAGCCATCAATCACAGCTAGAGGGGGGGTCCAAGTCAGCACTCCACTGTTAAGCTGGACATCTTCCACTTTCAGATTAGTGGGAGCATCAATCTCTGAAACAAAAGATTGAGAAACACTACCTGATTATTTATTTGTCGAATGTTTGAAAGCAGAGCTGCAAAGGTGTCTAGCAAGAGAAGAGGCACATACACTATGTATGTAGAAAAAGATACTGCGGATTCATACACAGGGCTTAAAAAGAAAGAACCGAACTGTCAAAGTAGCTGAACTGAGAAAGAGTTACCTGTCACAGCCTGTGTGGAGGTCCTCTTGCTCTTGCGGTCTCCCTTGACAGCCCAGATGTAGACAGTGTACTCCACTCCAGGCCTCAGCCCTGTCAGCTTGTAGGA